GAGCCTATGAATCCAGGCCAGCAACTCGCATTGCAAGCAGCATTAGATCAAATAACAGGTCAAGATTAATGTTAGCACAACTAGTTATTTGTACCTGTATTAGTCTACTATTGCAGTAGTTATTCAACTATGTTTGAGAGGTCCCCACAATCACCCCCAGGTTCGACAAGTCACTGGGAGGATTCACAGGACTTAACACTTATATTTGTACTCATGGCTATGACTTATTACAGTGCAAGGATGCAAAACCCAACCAGCAAAAGGAAAAGGCACTTCAGGCTAAATCCAAGAGAAACCACGAGCAAGCTTCCAAGTGTCTTCTCCCAGGGGAGTTGCAGAGGATATGCTTAATTCCGCCTGCAATTAGTTGTGACAGCATGTGTGAAATGTTGCCAACTATGGAAGCCCATTGGAGACTCAGCACCCATGGTCACACAGGCAGCCTCTGCCTAGCACCTACCCAAATCCCAGATTCCCAGAAGGAAAGTAGTTATTCAGCATAAACCATATTGTTTGCACAAATAGTTTAGACAAAATTAGCTAAGTTCCCAGAAATGAGCCAAGGGTCAACCTTGCAAATAAATAGGTCTTTTGAAGGATAGCAGTTTAGGCCACCTATGTTAACTCTTTTCTGCACAACCACACAACAAACAACTGCAAAAATCTCAGTATCTTGTAACAGCAAGTATTTATTTTTCTCAATTAATTGCAGAGTTTGGTTGTGGTAGGCTAAACTTCAGGTATTAGACTGAATTCAGATCTGTTCCACAAATCTCCACAATTCCAGAACCTGTGGCTTTCTGCAGGCATGCTCTTCTCATGGCAGGTGACAGAAATAGAAGAGAGCAAGCTAAATCATGCAAACACCTCTTAAGGTTCTGCTTACATTACACCCTTTTAACATTCCATCAGCCAGAATAACAGCCAAAACCAACATTAGTAGGGTGAGAAAATAGCCTTCAACAGTTCTAGTAGAGAGAACTGCAAAGTCACATGGCAAAGAATATGCATGTACAAATTATTTATAGGAAAGGAATAATTAATTGGAAACAAGAATCCAATCTACCACAGTACCCTAGGAAACTCACCAAACTCAGAGAGCAAATTGAGGTTAGAAGCAGCACATTATCACTTTTGAAAATGAAATGTCTTGGTTTGTTTACTAGTTTATTCCCACACTTATACCCAAAGGAGCCTTGATACAACCAGGAAAACATACGCAATTTTAATAATATTCTATATACATTTTCAGTAATAATGAAAGTATTAATGGCTAACATTAATAAGTACTTACCATGTGCCAAGAGTGTTACATGCATGATTTCACCTAGCCCTTAGTTGGTGAGATTATTATCCCTATTTTATAGATGAGAAAATGGAGGCCTAGAGACTTGCTGAACACCGTAAAGCTTGTAAGTGGTGAAGCCAGAATCTGAATCCAGGCAGCCTAGATCCGAAGTTGTACTTTTAACTATTACAATATTTTAAGGGCTGTGCTTGGGCACATATGCCATATTGCAATGCTTCAATACTGAGATATGGAAGTATGCCACAACTGTGCAAGTACCGTCACATTTTCATATGACAGTTAGTTCTCATGGACTCAGAAAGCTAAAATGTAATTTTCAGGAAAAGAAAATTTTTATCCTACTCACTAAAATATCATGAAAACTTAAGTTTTTCCTCACAGAAACATTATCAACATACCAAAGTATTAAATTTCAATGTTATTTAAATGTCAATATTTCTTGTCTTTGAAAAAATGTTTTATGAACACATATCATTTCTCAAAATAATTTTTCAAAGTTTCTAAACCACCATACCTTTCTACTTTCTAGCCTAGATAAAGCAACTGCTACATGTACTACCTCCTACAATACTGTAACAACTAGGTTTTCAGTCAAGGAAAAATTATCACAAAAGAAAATAATGACAAAAATCTATTTTCTTTTCTTTCCTTTTTTCTTTCTTTTTTTTTTTTTTTTTGAGATGGAGTCTCATTCCGTCGCCCAGGCTGGAGTGTAGCGGCATGATCTCGGCTCACTGCAACCTCTGCCTCCTGGGTTCAAGCGATTCTCCTGCCTCAGCCTCCTGAGTAGTTGGGATTATAAGCGAGTGCCACCATGCCCAGCTAATTTTTGTATTTTTGGTAGAGACAGGGTTTTGCCATGTTGTCCAGGCTGGTCTCAAACTACTGACTTCAGGTGATCCACCCATCTGGGCCTCCCAAAGTGCTGGGATTACAGGTGTGAGCCACCGTGCCTGGCCTGAAAATCTTCTATTTTCATTAAACAAATTCATTCAAGACTGTGTTAAACAATTTTACAATTAGGAGGTTTCTCCATTACAAAGCAAGAACTCAATAATGCAAATATACTTGTATTGCATCTAGAGATTCCAGTCCCTTCCTCCACGGTTATGGGAAGGTACACTTTAATTATGGACATTCATTTCTCTCTAATTGTTTTCTGAGCTTATGAATAATGAAAGCATGATAGCATTTATCAGGAATCATTAAGGACCTAATGTTAAAAGGCACACTACTGCAATAAGCAGTGGTCTGCCAAGTGTCTCATCAGAAGATGAGCAAATGCTATTGCAGGAGTGAAAGTCGAGTCTATCCAGTAAAGCTGATAAAGGCTTTGTCTTAGGGAATTCAGAGGATTACCGACAGCACAAAACATTATCTAGATGTCCTCAGCATGTGAGAAACAAGATATACATAAGAGAACATTACTGTCCTCAGAATACCATAACCAAACAAAGGTGGAAATGAACAAAAGGACATTGCCAAGTGCCAACTATCTGAAAACAAATCTAAAACAAGTGTAGTGTGATATCTTAATCCAAATATTAACAAAGAGGAGATGCAGACTGCATTTTCCCATAATGTCCAAGGCATTTGGAACCAAGGGACCATTATTTAGGGAAGGAGGAAGGTGCTGAGTTCAAGTGCTTTTGCTTTTGTTTTTGTTTTTAACACATCCTCACTTATTCTCTCTGCTAGTTTTCCAAGAGCTCTGCCATTTTTTCGAAAGGTGTGATTACCCTGGCTTTTGAGAAATTCCCAAATCTAAGCATGGGAAAGTTCCTTAGAGGACATCAAGGGAGGACAAGCTCTACCCACCTTGCAAGAATTCCTGTTATGGCATTTATAACAAGTAGCCTTCCAGAGTCTGCTTGAATACTTCCAATGATGGGGAGGTGGAAGGTTTGTTATCCATGGCCCAGCCTTTTTCCATTGCTGGTGAATTCTGACTATGGAAAAATTTTTCCTGTAGATGAAACCTACATTCCTAAAATATCAACCAATATTCTCACCATCTCTGTATTCTTGAAATTTCAACCGACTGGTTTAGTTCTAGCATCCACAAACAATTCAAATTCCAATTCTTCTGTTCCCTAGTTGATTCACATAGTAAGTTTCATTAATTTGTGACTTGCAGGGGCAGCTGGAAGAGTGGGAGGGGAAAAGTGTGACACGGCAATGGAAAAGGGAATGGAAGACATTTGGTTCACAAGCATATTTTATGTTATATGCAGTGATAAATACAACTCAAGTCCACAAAACGTGTGTATAATCATACATATGTGAGTATATGTAGACGTACATATGTATGTGTAAGAATATGTGAGTATACGCGTATACATGTATATGTGTAAGTAGGTGTGTGCATATGTATGAATATGTGTATAAAATGCCAAGTCAGTCAACAAAAATCTTCAAACTATGTTCAATAAGAAATGCAAACATGGAATTTTATGATATTATTTTTAAGGAGAATATAAAATACACACAAGAGCTAAGCATCGCAGGAGTTGTTAACGCACTAGAGAGGAAAAAGAATTCAATCAGCTTATGTCTACATTATGGTAAAAATATTATCATCTCAAAATACCTAAATCATTATGCTATGCTTATTATCTGAACATTTGCTATAAAGTAATGAAGTTCTCAACCACTAAATAAAAATCAATGAATAGATCATGCTACCATGTCCCTTTCTGTAAGTTACTGAGAGGATTCTTGGCAGGGAGGGGTGTAGGCCAGCAATGCTGCACCTCCCTGAGTCTGGTCCAGGATTTACCCTGGCAGTCCCTCTCTGCACTCTGCCTAATTCTAGGCATCACAGAATCAGAAACCAGCGACTCCTCACCAGAAGCCTAGCTATCCTGAGGTGAACACAGCCCCTGCTGGCAGGATGCTCAATTATTAAATAATAGTTAAGATATGTTCATTAGATTTCAAGACAGGAAGGAGAACAAACACATACAGAGAAATTTTCTGCAAATGCAGAAACAAACAAGAAAGCAGGGAAGGGGAGCTTTGGGTAAACTTTGTCAGGATATCCAGCTAACAGACCACAACCTAGAACCAATCAAAATGTTATTCAATTCTATTCATGAAAAAGAATAAAACTGTATTCAGAACTAATAAGGTAAAATAATAAACCTATATAAAAAGTTTTTGTTACCATAAATTCAGACAAAAATAACTGAATAATGTAATGATGATCATTTTCTATGTAATACACAGACCTATTCCAAATTCTATAGTCTGGTAGAGTACAAAAATTATTAATTTTGATCCTTGGGCCAAATTTGGCATGCCATCTGTTTTGGGGGAAAAAAATAGTTGAGTCGGAACATGGCCACACTCATTCATTTGTGGTCTATGGCTGTTTTCACACTACAATGTCAGAGATGAGTAGTTGTGACAGAGACTACTATGGCTCACAAAGCCTAAAATATTTACTATTTGTTCCCTTATACAAAAAGTTTGCAGACACCTGCCCTACATAATCATCAACCTTAAAATAAACATGTAGGCCACATCACTAAATCGTGCTAGCCTTACAAAACAGAAAGAACTTTACTTGCTATATAATGCTCGACCTTTGTTACAAACTAACAACAAAAAGACAGATTTGCAAAAAAATGTTCCAGGTGTAGTGAGGGTATTTTACACTTTGGAGAAATGCAGCAATGATTCTTCCTACCTGTTTTTCCTCCTCTTCATCTGAAGTGTAATTGGCATCACGGACATTTCCCCAGAGTTGGTAACTTTTCAACTTTTCTTCAGTGGACGGATTACTCTTCTCTTCTGTTGTGTTTTCCTCATCACTTTCTGGGTTATTTTTCCATTCTTTCATCATCTCTAATACATTGGTTGGTCTCACGGAAGAAAGTTTATTGCCCTAATATTGACAATCAATTTTTGGTGTTATAAACAGCTTAGATAATTGAGATGATACCTACATCATTTAGCGAGATAGTCTCCCAAATTCAGTAACAGTCACATGGAAAAGATTATAATGCTGAATAAATATGAAAACTTCTGATGACCACTGGAGTACACTCCCTGTACTGACATGGCTCACACTCGTTGCATGATATCACTTGTAATAGGTCCAAGTTAAGAGGGGAAATATTCAGGCTTGAAAGAACAATGCAGCATGCTTGTGCAAAGAACACTACACAGGGCAATTTCCTGGAACCCAAATACCCCCTATAGTGCTGTTCTTAGAAAATTGAGAGAGAGGTTGAAAGAACTAAAGAAGTTGGCCAAAGGCCAGTGGGTCCAGTGCTAAGGAGAAGTCTATACAACATCCAAATATCTAGGAAAAAAAAAAATCTAAATTCAGTCAACTAGTCAAGCACTATGTCTAAGAATATAAGTACTTAATTTGAAATCCCTTACCTGTCTGGAAGATTTAAATATAATGTGGTCATTTGATTATAACTGACTTGGCACAGTGTTCTTATCCCGGCATATGATGATACATACCAAAATTGACCATTTTATATTAACCGTATTTTCCCAAATAGAATATCCTATGTAATGTGCTGAGAAATACATGAATGCAAGCTCAAATAGCTCCTGCTTGATTAGGCGTGTCTTAAATATTTTTGTTCTTACCTCATACTGTTAGAAAAAATTTAGACCAAAAAAATGGATCACATTTAGATTAAAATGAGAAGTTCAGGTGTGGGCAGAGCTATGAAGTGATTCTAAATTACTCTGGTATATGGATGTATTGAAAAGTTTAGCATCAGTGACATAGAAAACCACGAGACAGGGTATTTTAAGGTACCTATCTGAATACACTGTTGAGGACTTGTTGAGTTTAATGTATTTGTGGCTAAAGACATAGACAAACACTAAATGTGGAATGCTAATAACTAAATGAGGATCACTATGCAATTAATTCCCTGTGGTTCTTTGTTCCCTTGTTTTAAGAAGCTCAGTACTCCTACCATGTTCATAGCATCCCATTACATCTCACGCTGGTTTTGCACTTGTTCCTCCCTTACCTACTTACTTCTAGAATGCCCTTGCCATTTCTTCCTGCCAGTCCATAGCAAGAGCCTACATTTCCTTGAAGGTTCAATTTAAGATTCATTTCTGTCAGGTATCTCAGAACTCCCAATTATGTAGTCAACTCAAGTGAAAACAGACAGTGGCTCAGCGACAGTAACCATTAAAGAGTTGAAATCATGTAGAATGGTAGATTGTCTCAGAGCACTCATCTGAAGGGGTTCTGCTCTCCAGGGCTCTGCTTGGTCCCTATGATCCATCTCTCCTCTCTTACAATTTCTTGGCCTCATTCTGACCTCTAACTTAATTTTCATAAAATCAGTGACCAGACTCCTAGAATGCAAGTACATACAACTTTGCCTCAACTTGATTCTTTCACTAGCAGAAACTGACAATTTGACACATCTAAGTCTGCAATCCCAGTCCGCAGTGGCTCCTCCCTGAAAAGCCCTCCCCAGGTTAAGTCTTTGGAAACTGTGGTAGTGATTAAGGCTACTTGCCCAACATTTCTTCCTTCTAGGCTCATGGTAGAATTTCACTTCTCTATCCTCTTTGGGATGTGACCATGTGCCTTACTTTAGCCAGTGATTCATGATTGGAAACTGTATGTATCACTTCTGGGTGAAAACTTAAAGAGATAGTATGCAATTAATCATGTTTCCAATTCCTGAACTGGTAATTACAGAAGCATAGAGATGGAGTCTCCCTCAGCTTGGGTTCCTGAGTAAGGACAAAGTGAAACAGAACCTCCTCCTCTCCCCCGAGTCAATTGGCCATGGAAGGTACTAACAGCACTGAGATTTGGATGTCATTTGTTATCACAGCATAATCTAGCTTACCTCGATGTAGATACCAAAGCAAACATTTACATTCTGTAAGTCACCTCTAAGAAGCCTTAAAAAGAGTGACTTCATTGCAAAATCATCATGTCCAACAAAATTATAATTACTACAGAACTCATATGCAACCAATATGATGTGACAGCTCATTTATTTAGGCAGTTCTTGCTCTGCACAGTCCTGATATGCCTGAATTTCAGTTATAATTTACTTAAACAGCATTAGTCCCCCAAGAGCAGAGTTTAAATTTCAGTCAATATGGTATATGAACTAAAACTCCATAAAGTTCAAACTGCACTGCTAGTTCTTCAGTCCACAAAGCAAACAAACGCATATCATGATCAGTGACCAATTTTGTCACTTCTCTCAAAGGCTATTGGTGATCAGACATTGGGCATCTGCTATTCAGTCCACACACAGACAGCAAAGTGTGTAGTTGTGTTGCTTCCTTTTCTCCCAGGGAATTAGCCAACAAAGATGAAAGTGCAGTAAAGAAAATAAAAGTGATATGCTGAAAGTGAAAACCGAATAAAATATGAATGGAGTAATAGAAGAAATCGCTGACTGGGAATGCTGACACTACCACCATTCGACAGAGTATTTGCCAAGGCACAAAAAGGATCCTCCCTCTGTCTTATAAGTTATGTGGTAAGAAGAAGGTAAGTACTATTTAAATGAATCTTAAGTATTTTATTTAAAAAGACACTTTAATTCTCAATATTTCTAACATTCTAAATTACAGTGTACTAAATGAACATCAGCTTTACTTTTGTCTCATTTCCCTATATATTTATAACTAACAGAGAGGTACTAATATTTTGACAAAAATGTAAAGGGCATGAAACAATCATAACTTTTCACATTGATTATTGAGATCATTTTTTTTCAGTTTCAACCTGTTTTTACTGTCCTACACTACTGTACAAAGCAAGGATTGCCTATATTATTTTGAATCTGCATCTCTAGCAATCTTTTTTTTTTTTTTTTTTTTTTTTTTGAGACGGAGTCTTGCTCTGTAGCCCGGGCTGGACTGCAGTGGCCGGATCTCACTCACTGCAAGCTCCGCCTCCCGGGTTTACGCCATTCTCCTGCCTCAGCCTCCGGAGTAGCTGGGACTACAGGCGCCCGCCACCTCGCCCGGCTAGTTTTTTGTATTTTTAGTAGAGACGGGGTTTCACCATGTTAGCCAGGATGGTCTCGATCTCCTGACCTCGTGATCCGCCCGTCTCGGCCTCCCAAAGTGCTGGGATTACAGGCTTGAGCCACCGCGCCCGGCTCTAGCAATCTTTCAAATGCCTGGTTCACATACACATACACCCAAGAGCTTGGTAGCTGATATTCTACGTGTCTAAAGGAGACTGTCTTCGTACTTAAATAAATGACCCTATTTCTCATTCTATAGAGACTGTGGAGAAAAGCAAAGGATCCAGAATAAGAGTGTTATCCTATTTCCTATGTGGAAATTTTTAGCTCTTTGCCTCCTATACTCACTTGCAATATCAAGCCTGGACTAGGTGGTATAGAGTCCAGGCTTTCCCTGTTGTCTAGAGTCCATCTGATAACTTACTATACCACCTACTTCTTGCTTGCTAGCAGTTGAAGGATAAATTGTATCAGATACTTGGGACTAACCAATAATAAGTGGTCCACAACAATGTATCACGAACCTTCTAGTTCAACAGAAATTACAAATGAAGCAACCAAACAAAACTGGGGTAGAACTGTTAGGGCAGACACTGTAGATGTATATGTCACCTCACCATCAGAACACTAACCTCTGAACTCCTTTTACTGGCTGCATCTAGGTGATCAAATACTGAACTCATCAATTACAAAATAACAAATGACAAGAAAGCAGTAGCAATAGTTTGATCATCTGAAGCTATCACAGGTAGAGACCCAGCCTTTTGGATAAATTTCCACTTGCTTAACCAACAGATAGTTGAGACTATTCATTTAATATTGAACAACTAGAAAAATGAAACTCAGGGAAGAGAAGAACTGCTTGAATACTAAGACTTGAATTTAATCCTTTAGTAGACAGGCCCATAATGGAGACCCAATCCCATTTCCTCATCTAAAAAATACTGCCTTTTAAGGGATAGTGCCTATCAGTGCTTTGTAAACAGTAAGTACTTAATAAGCACTTTAAAATAAATGAATGAATGACATGTATGAGCTGGGGTGAGATGGTATGAACCCAAATCAGCAAAGCTAAAGGAAACATTGTGGATCTTTAGCATGCAGTCACCATTCTCTGTTTTTGCAAGGAGCTAGAATAGTTTATTTTGTAATGTTCCTAGGAGTAAATTTTTTCAATAGAAAAATGGAACACTTTTTTTTAAAAACATATAAAAGAACGGCCAACTTCACAAAATAAAATCCAAGTCAAAACAATGTGGTGCCAATTTTCACCTAATAGATAGACAAAAATTTAAGTTTGATATTTCCTGTGTGGGTGAGGGTGTGGGGGAACAAGCACTCTCACTTACTTGCTTTTTATGAGAAGGTAAATTAGCAATAATTGATCAAAATGTAAAATGCACATTCTCTCTGGCCAGTAATTCCACTGTTAAAAATGTATCTTATATAAACTGGCACAGTATGCAAACACATATTTACAAGAACATCTGTTGTACTATGATGTAACAGAAAAGATATGAAACAATTTAAATATTCACAGGGACTATTTACAAAAGAATTTATAGTTTGGAATACAATGTTGATTTTTAATTTTTTTTTTAATTTTTTTAATTTTTAACTTTTTTTAGGTTCATGGGTACATGAGCAGGTTTCTTATACAGGTAAAATCATGTCACTGGGGTTTGTTGTACAGATTATTTTGTCACCTAGTTACTAAGCCTACTATCCAATAGTTATTTTTTTCCAGTCCTCTCCCTCCTCCCAACCTCAAGTAGTCCCAGTGTCTGTTGTTCCCCTCTTTGTATCCATGAGTTCTCATCATTTAGCTCCCACTTGTAAGTGAGAACATGTGCTATTTGGTTTTCTGTTCTCACATTAGTTTGTTGAAGATAACAGC